CTGCCACTGCTGTGGGCTGACACAGAGGAGCCTTCTGTGTCCCTGCCTAGGGGAAAGATTGCACCATCCCCAGCAGGAGGTGGCTGTGGAGACCGAACCTGGTTTGAAGATTCCCACGAATGCAGGGTCAGAGGTGTCCATCCCGCTGGGCTCTCTTCAGCATCGGGTTGGAGTCCTAACAGGCCATACAGCCTCTTGTTAGTGCCTCATGGGTGCCCCTTTATCCTCCACACAGGGCACAGGCCTTCCTGAGGCCTAACTGAGCATCCTCCGTGCTGAGCTAAGGCTACTCTCTCCTGCTGTGTTCAACTGACCTTAACCAAGGCAGGAAACTGACCACTTGAACCCAGCAGGCTGCCCAGGACTGGTTAGCTCTTCTGTGTTTCTATCAGTCCCATCCTGCCTGGACAGACAGGGCACAGCAGTAAAGCTGTGTACGATCAGAGGATGAAGTACCAGTCAGGTTGGATCAACAACTGGTAATGAGAGGTGCTGTCTCCTCTTGTTTTTAATAAGCAGTCTTGGGCAATCCTGAGGGTCAGCACTGCACAGGAAATCTCCAGGCTTTGTGGCTCTTGGGGAGCCTGTAAAAGCTTTTGTTTTAACCAGGTGTGGTAGTGCCAGTCTGTAATCTCAGCTGCTCAGCGAATCAAAGGTGTGAGGAACGCTTGGGCAACTTAGTGACACCTGTCTTAAAATAAAAGTTAAAGAGGTGAGAACATAGATCAATGTTCTTTATTTTCAACCTTTAGTATCATTAAAGAAAGACACAAACACCAACAAAATCCTTCTGCTTCCTCTGAACAGGACATCAGCAGCAGGTGGGAGCCTGGCAGGGCACCTCCAGCCAATCAGGGTGCTCAGTGTCCCAAGGGAGGGAAAGCAATTCCCCTGATCCAAACCCAGGAGGCCCTGCTAGCCCCGGGGAGGAAATGAGCACCGGGATCCCAGGACAGGTGGGGAAAGTGTCCTCAGGAAGCCAAGAGCTCATGATTCCCCAAGACTAGACTCTTGAGAAAGGTCCTGACAGTTCAGGTCTGTTCCATGAATATCCTGCTTCACTGTGGTGAGCAGAGCTCAGGAATTAGGACTCAGTTCCAGTTCCCACTTAGCTTCTAACCCTGACCACTGGCAAAGCATCTTGTCATCCCCATGACTCAGTTTGCTCATCCAAGAATCAAAAGCTTAGTCTTCATATGGGGTTTTGGAGTTTCTTTTCAGCTTTCCCCAAGATGAAAGGTTATATGGGGCAGAAGCTCAATTCATGAGGCAGCCAGGACTAGACTGGGTGAGGCTGAGGACTTGTGCCTGCTCCCTTTGGTCCTTTTCCCAGATAGGGCCTGAGGACCCTCCAAAGTGCCCAGTGCTGAGGGCAGGAGGAGAGGAGATATAGGATTTGGAGCAGGCATCCTACTGGCTGTGGGGGAGGCAGCCTGGGTTCACATTCAACCTAACCTCTCTGAGTCTCAGTTTCACTTTCTGAAAACTGGGGCTGATAATGTCTTCAGACATTGTTCTGAAGGTTCAGAGCACTGTCGTGTGCACTCGGGCAGGCGGCAGGTGCCCTGCAGTGGGACAGCTGTGAGCAGTTGCAGAGCTCACACAGCGGTCACACTGTCACAGCAGAGGTGGGTAGATCACATTAACTTATCTTACTGACAAAAAAACAGAGAAGGTAAGTAAGCTTCCCAGGCTCACACAGCTCCACATGGCAAGCTGCGGTGCAAATCCAGGCAGCCTCAGAAACTGGTAGTTTTAGTGTTAGTATTGTAGGTCCTGGGGAGAACCTAGATCCTTCAATAGGTCCAACCTAGGCAACTTCATCACTTCAGAAAATGACAGGAAGTATTGGAACAGGATGAGCTGTCCGAGGAGAGGAAACCTGCCCCCTATCAGGCCAGTAGGCACAGTGATCACCTGGAAGGGGTTGGCTACCTGTCAGCTGACACGTATAGGGGATTGAGAGAGGGGTGACAGAGTGTTGGGGATGCTGCCACCCCAGGCAGAGGGAGCATCTCCAGGGCTCTGTTCTGGCTTTGCCTGTCTGCACAGGCTCTCTGGCCTCAAATCCTAGTGCCAGGAGAGGATCCTGGATGCAGGTTATTATCCAATTCTGGACATCCTCAGGCAAGAGCCCCCCTCTCTGCCTCCAGGCCTCAGTTTCTCCATCTGTCAAATTGATGTCGAAATTCTGTTTCTAAATGTCTGACGGTCATCTACCCATCCATCTCTCCCTCCAGTATTTCATGAGTACCTACTGTATGCCAGGCACTTTTCTGAACTCCAGATATATAGAGTAAAAATGAGAAATAAAAACCTCTCTCCTACTTTTATTTCACTAATAAATTAACAAAGTTAAGAGGCAAGTCCCAGCTCTGCAGGGATATTTTAAAAAGGTACATGGAGGTGAAAACTTCCTTGGGATTTTACCTCATTGACAAAAGATTCTCCAGGATGTAGTGTCTGTTCAATGAATGAACCAAGGGGACTTACTTTGCTGCACCACAACTGAACCTGAGGTCCCTGAGTCCTCTCTTTCCCCCAAATTGTGTTCTAAAGAGAGCTACCTCATGAAGCTAAACCCAAGGATACACCTCTCCTGGGCTTATAGGGAGGGACTCAACTTCTTTGTCCCTCTCCATCCCCTTCCCTCTGCTTCCACATGTAGGTCCTGGTCTGAAGCTCAGTTATGTTTTTTTTCTTTTTTCTTTCTTTTTTTCTTTTTCTTTTTGGAGACAGGGTCTCACTATGTAATTGAAACTGACCTGGACTCACTATGTAGCCCAGGCTGGTCTTGAACTCAGAGTGATCCTCCTGCCTCAGCCTCCTGAGTGCAGGGATTACAGGGGTGTGCCATCACGCCCGGCCCTGAAGCTCTGTTATGGAAGATTGGCCAGCAGGGGCAGGGACAGGACAGGCAATTCTCCAACTCACTTGCCAGGATGGTCCAGAGTCCAGACAGGACCTGGAGGACAGGGCAAGGGACACATTCTCCTCTGATTGACACTTGTTCTCTGCCCCCTGTCTGCTGAGGCTGAGGAAATCCTTGAACCTCCCTGAAGGGGTGGGGTCGGTCCCAGGGCAGCCTGCACTGCCACCTGTTGGCCAATCTCCTGTCCCAGCACAGGGAGTACTGAGGGGGACTAAGGGACACTGAAGGGAATCAAGCTGCAGATTTCCACCCCAAAGGGTCAGGAATCTGAGGGCACCCCAAGCCTGAAGGGCACAGAGGGAGGCACAGAAACATGTGGACCCCGGCCCCTCTTCTTCTGTTCCAGGTGATGGGCCTGAGTTTGCCAATGCCTGGGAGTTTGGGAGGTCACAGCAGCACCAGGGAAGTGAGTGACAGCTGTCTTAGTCCCATCCCTTTTCTCCACACTAGGGATGCTGTCTGGATAGGTGTCCCCAGGGGCCTGCCTGTCAAAGGCTTGGTCCCCACTGGGAGGAGGAACCCTGAGGAGGTGGGGCCTAGTGGAGGTGCCTAGGTCACTGGGCTGTGCCCTGAAGGTCACTGAGACCCTGATCCTCTTCTCCTTTTGTTTCCTGACCATGAGGTGAGCAGTTTTGCTTGGCCAAGGGCTCCCTGCTGTTGCCATCCAGCACCCACATTAGAGGCACAGAGCACTGGGTCCATGCAATTAGGACGTAATCTGTAGAACCATGAGCCAAGCACAACTTTTCTCTTATATGTTTATTATCTCAGGTAATTTTGAGGAAACTGAGGCTCAGAGAAGTGAGGGTATTGGCCCAAGTCTGCACAGCAAGGATCCACGTGGGATACAAACCAGGGTCTCAGCTCCTATTGCTGGACCCGAGCCCACCTGGTGGTCTGTGCCTCTCCCTTCTGACACCGGCCTGGTGGCCGTCACAAGTTCACAGCTGCTGCTTAAAGCCATACCTGGCTCAGGGCCCAAGGACCCCTGAGAATGGACCCTAAATGGTCTGCAAGGGCAGATGAATGTCAGCCTGAAGAAAGGTATTTTAAATGTCAAATCCACAGGGCTGATATGTATGTAATAGAGGGCAGCCCTATAAACAAGATTTGGGAAACCCCAAAATAAAGTGAGCAAAATAAAAATAAAGTCAAATTAAAAATCAAGCATTTAAAATAAATTGAATTAAAAACTAAATAAAAATAATTTAAGTCAACAATCGTAATAGAAAATAGCATTCATAAACAAAAATAATTCCATAAAATTTAAAAATAAAAATCTATATAAAATAAACATAAAAATAAAATAAAATTATATTTACAAAGCATACTGAAAGGAATTTCATTTAAATGAAAAATTTAAAACTTTAAAATAGCATTAAAATGCTTAAGTGAAATAAATGTTAGAAATTTAAAAGTGAGTGAAAAGATGTGTAAGAATTAAGTAAGAAAAGCCAGCAATTTGTAACCATTTTAAAAATAAAGACAGGATTGTGAAATCTAATCAACACATAACAAAAGGTGGCTCTGGTCAGACGTGTTGACAGTGTGCTGTGCAGGAGGGGCCCAGCTTTGATCAGAGACTGGCTGGAGGAGTGAGCTAGGCAGAGGACAGCAGTGCAAGCCCCAAACACGTATATCCGCCTGGTGCCTCCAGGCATTGGGCACGGAGGGCACAGTGTTAGGCACCCTACGGTTTTACCCCAAAGCAGCTGTCACATCACAGTTTGCAACACACACACACACACACACACACACACACACACACACACTCACACACTGCATCACACTCACACACACACACACACACTCACACACACACTCACACACACACACACACACACTCCCACACACACTCCCACACACACTCACACACTGCATCCTCCATTCCCACCTCCACCCTTGGAAGTCCACGTTCATATGGAGTGAACAGAAGCTCATAGACGGTGGGCCTCTACGGCAGTCACTCAGCCCTTGGGACCACTCCATCCATAGAATCGGGACTCTTCTCCAAACGGCCTTCTTTCACAAGTCAGATCAGTTGAGGACATTCACAGAGGGTCAAAGCCATGTATGACAACAGACTTTAATGTTTTAAACACTGGAAAAGCCAATCTCCTCTGATGCATCATCTACTGACATTCTAGTGTTTTGACAGGAGTCACACGCATGCTCTGCTTCACTTTCCGCAGCCTGTACGATGCAGATGCATCTCACTGTCCCCATAGACAACCTTGACAGTCTCTGCGCACCACTAGCTGCTGTCTTGGGGCTGCATCACCATGTGTGCAGTCCGCATCATCATGCGGGAGGCGCGAAAGGTGTAGCTGGGCCTGTGGACAGAGTGGTGCCAGAGCAGGCCATCGATCCTGAGCTGGCTGGTTGGGTAGTAGATGCCATTGAGGTTGGAGGAGCCACACTTGTCAAACCACCATCCTGTGGAAGAGAGGGACCCTGACTGATCAGGGCTGTTGCCACCTTGGTGAACCAGGGGCTTGAGAAGTGGGCGGGGGACAACCCTGTGCTCAGCAATGGCCTCTAGAGTGCAGTAGTGGGCTCTGGCTCCTACTCCAGGCCCCTCTCACCTCCTTGCCTCCTCCCAGCTCTGCTTTCTATGTCCCTCCCTCTCTGTCCTTCCACTCTTCGGACTCCTTCACAGCACTGTGTCACCTTCCCTTGGTATCTGGCAGCCTCTGTCTCTCTCTGTGTGAGTCTCTCTCTCTCTTTCTCTCTGTTGGCAGTCTCTGGGCATGTATCATGCCATGTGCCTCTCTCTGGCTGAAATCATCCTTCCCTGCTGTCTGTCTGTCTCTGTCTGTCCAGGATTTCTGTCTCAATGCACCCAGTCCTCCCCTGGCTGTGCTGAGGGCTGCACTTCCTCTCCAGCTCTCCCTCTGCCTCCCCTGTCCCAGTGCAGCTCTGTCTCCACTGCTCTCATTTCTGTGAGCCTCTGTCTTTCTCTGCCCCCATCTGTTCCTGTCTCTGTCCTCCCTGCTCTGTCTCTGACTCATCCCATCTCCCACTCTCTGACTTCTGCCTGAGCCAGAGTTGGTGGGGAGCTGTTCCTTGGCCTTTCCTTGATGCCAGGAGTAGAAGAAGCGTTGGCCTGAAGGAGACTTTAGAACCCAGCAGGGAAGGTAGCACTGACCCGAACTCACCTCCAGACATAATCTCTGCACAGCTGCAGAAGGAGCAGTTGTCGTGGTCTGCATCATGGGTGCTGAAGTTGCCATCCTGTAGGACCCGGTGACCCCAACCCAATGCTGCACCACTGTGCTTATCCAGAAAAATCCTGGAGGCCAAATGGAGATTGAGATAGGAGAGGGGCACAGAGTCAGGTTGAGGCCATGCTGAGGAAGGGTTGCCTAGGCTGGTTGTCCCTCCTGTTGTGCTTGGAGGAGAGCCTCAGCCTGGGTGTGGTTCCATTTTCCTCAGAATCATTCTCCCTTGAGCCACCTCCCGGGAAAACAAAGCACCGAGTGTGTGTTGGACCCTCTTCATTTCACTGATCCTGGGTCTTGGAGAGGTGTAACAATGACCATAACAAGGACAGTAGCTGCCAGTTTTTTAGCTTCTACCATGGGACAGGCATTGTCCAAAGCCCTTTGCAGTGGTTGACTCATTTTTATCTAAGCCTCATAACATCCTTTCCAAGCAAGGAGATGGGATCCTAAGAATTTAAGGAACCCACCCAAGGTCTCAGGACTGAGGAAGGTCAGAGCCACATTCTGGCTGTGTGGCCTGATTAGGGACCCACATCCTACACCTTGGTTCCTTCACAGCTCCTCGTGTCCACTTATCTCTTCCAGGAAGCCCTCTGTGAGCACAGCAGCCCACACAGAGCTACATCCGGAAAACCCCAGCCCTGTGACTTGCACATCAGTGGGCAGGTGGTGAAGGGAGAGTTACATTCCTTGGCCAAGCTCTTCGGTCCTGACAGGCACAGCCAAGGCTGCCTGGTGCTGATGGCCATTAACCTGGATCCAAACCCCAGCTCTGCCACTTGGTGGCTGCATGGCCTTGGGAAGGCTGCCTCGCCTCCCTGAGCCTCAGTCTCTCCACATGTGAACATGGCAACCACAGTAATATTGACAATGGCCTTGTTTGTTGTGTGGTTTGGTTACACAGGTGTGTAGAGTATGCAGGTTAGTGAGTTCTAGGCACACTCAGGATTTGCTGTACCTTGGCTCCTGGCCCATAGGTGAGCCTGGCTGGGAGAGTGGAGAGAGGGGCTGTGCCTAAAGCAAGGAAGGGAGCTGGCTTGGGAACTGTTAATTTTTCATGGAGTGGAGGCAAATGGACTGCAGGTGTGGCCAGGGTAGCTCAAGAAAATGCAGTCCCCAGGTTCAGGCCTGAGAGATGTCCTGGGTGCAACCCAAGGGAATGTGAGGCTGCGTATGTGGCTGGCACTGCCCCCTCAGCTTTCACTCATGGGCTGTGTCTGTCTGAAGTGATGATGGACATGGCTTTGTGGCTTTTGATGGTCACAAGCAGCCATGAAGCCCCACTGTGCCCTTAAACATGCCACCCTGAGGTCTGGGGCCTGTGTGGCACCGCTCCTTGAAAAGAGCTGCCTGGCGAGGGGTACTTTGGAGGGGGACTGACAGGCTTCGCAACCACTATTATGGTTCTGGCCTCTCCTTATGGCCATTAAGGGGTCCTCTGAGGGGATGTCCTCCCCTCCCCCTTGGGAGCCACAATGGTCCTGTGACCTTTGAGGGCCCCCTGTCATGGACCAGGACACCCCCACTGACTCACTGTTCAGATGCACTGTAAGCACTTTTATGGCTCAGGCCTGAAGAAGCCAAAAGTGAAACATATCACTTGTGTTATCCACATAAGCACACAGACTTCATGTCTGTTTTGTGACTTCCGGGGACAGTTTCCTGGGCTGGAGTGCAGATATGTGTGGTATTGAGAAATTGAGGTTACACTGAATGACCCACGGTGGCTCAAAGGATCTGCCCTTGGATCCAGGGTTTTGGGTGTGTTTCCCTGAGAGGGCTTTCTTGAGGTACATGTGAACATCCATCTGTGTATGAAGCGTGCTCATTTGGGTAGCTACGTACTTGTGTATGTGTGGGTATCCAGGGGTGTGGGGTGCTCTTGTGAGAGCCGCCACAGTGGCAGAGATGGTCCATGTCTCCTGCCTACCATCCTAGGGATGTTATTACCACAGGCCAGGACGCAGCACAGAGAGGACAAGCCACTTCTTTCTTCTGAGTCTTTGTGAATGACTGACCTGGGTGACTGCCCTTGGAGGCCTGTTCCTGCTCTAGGGATGGTGGCATAGGTCAATTCTTCACTCCACCCAATGGGCAGGGCATGCTGAGTGCCATCTGTCCACCTCTGGATCCTGTGACAGGCTTCCAAATGGGGGACAGATGGTCAAAAGTGGAGACACCCAGGGACTGAGCATTGATGCAGACTGCAGGCACTAGCCTGGAGCCCCAGCCCACCCATCATGGACCCCAGGCCACCCACTGGCTGGGCCCTGAGCCCACCTGTAAAACTGCTCCTCGCTGTCCAGCTGGAAATACCCAAAGTTGGCATAGAATGTGTTGCCTTCCCAGTCTTCTACCTCCACACGCAGAGAGTGAATTGCCCTGCTGGTGAGCTGGTGCACCACCTCATTGCCCAGCCAGTGCTCCCCTGCTGGGTCGCCGAAGCCCTAGGGGATGAGGGAAGGACAGAGTGGTTGGCATGCCCTGGAGGGTGGCTATGTCCCTCCTAAGCAATGGGACTGGGGATGGCTCCAAAGCCACTTATCCCGAACTGCTGCCACAGTGAGCATTATGAGCAGTCTGGGGTGAAGGACCCACACCTCCCACAGGAAAAAGGCTAACAAAATTTTAAATGTAAAACACCTTTAAAAATAATTGAAATCAAATTTCACCGAAGTCCAAAAGCGGAGGAAACTAATCTGTGATGATTGAAACAAAAATAGTGACTACCTTTTGGGGGCTATTGACTGGGAGGGGGGATGAGGAAGGTTCTGGGGTGCTGGAAGTTTGTACGTATATCTCTCATGGGATCACACGGGTGAGCACCTATGTGAAATTCCCTGATCCTTACACTTCATATTTGTACACATAAGCCTCAGTTAAAAAAATTATGGATTTTAATCAGCTACATATATTGTAGAGCAGACTTTGCTCAGGGACAGAGAAGCTGTTGCCAGATTTTGGCAGCATAAAAATGCATGAAAAGTGAAAAGCACATGGGGTGTCACCAGTGTCCAGATGAAAGAAATCCAAACATTTGGCAGAAGAATGATTAAGCATCAGGAACAGGGCACACCGAAGCCCTGCTCCCCATTGCTGGGGTGAGGTGCCTTTACTCGGTAAGGGTCAGTATCCAGCTTTCTTTTCTGCACTTCTGCATTTGACCTCTCAATTTTTTTCTGCATTTGACCTCTCAATTTTTTTTTGTCTTTTTTTTTTTTTTTGGTACCAGGGATTGAACTTCCTTGTGCATGTGAAGTAGGCAGCGGAACCACTGAGCTAAATCCCTGGCCCTTTCTTTGACATTTTGATCGTTCCTTAATGAACTCACTTGGTTAAAGCTCACCCTTAACTTAATTTGATATTTATATTTACATGTTTATCAAACAGAACAGCAAGCAGACAACCAAAATATTGCTATATGTCCTTGTGGGTGCCTTTCCCTATTTCTTTTAGCTTTGAAGAATTTCAAAGCATTTAAGTCAACCTTCCACAATTCTTTACTCAAAATGTACTTTAAATCACTAGAAGACAAGCATATAGCATTTCTCATCTTGAGAAAGGCACCTGGTCTCAAAACCAGCTATTTCATATTAAAGAATCTGTCCTGCCAATATGGTCACAGGTATATAAAAGGGGAAAGAAATTCACTTAAGGAGAGCCTGGGTGGGTGATTTTTTTTGTCAATTGCCTCCTTTATATCCTTTAAAAAAATGTAATCTTTTCCAAAGTTTGAAACAATGGATAAAATTTCATTCCTAGGATGTATGTCAGAAATTTCAAAAAGAGGGTCACTTTCAGGGGATGGGGTCCTGGAAAATGCATGGACACTGGGCAAATCTGACCAAGGGTAGGTGGCTTAGAGGGCTTGATTTATTTTTCTAGAAAAGAGTGAGGATAAACCAGCTCCCCTCCCCCTGCCAACACCCCAGCACCTGCACCAAACTTCAGCGTACAAAGCCCCTCCCCAGGGCAGCCGTGTCACCTGCTTGTATTCCTCCCAGTTCCTCTGGAAATCCACTGAGCCATCCTCACGGCGCTGGATGATGGTCCAGGCGCCTCCCTCAGGGTCCATCACACAGAACACCTGGGGGAGGAGGGATCAGCTGGAATCCCTGGACACAGCCAGAAGCCAGGTCCAGGGCAGCACAAGGGTGACTTGGCCAATGGACGCCCCACTCCCCAAAGAGCAAAAGTTCATCAATGTCATCAGAAAGATTCAGTCTCCAATGTCCCATCTTGTGATCATTTCCTAAGATGACAGGGCAGTGATGCTCTCCCAGACCCACTTTCTTCTCAGTTATAAAATAGGGGTATTCGTACCTTAACCTCCTTGTGCCTCAGTTTCCCTTCTGCAAGCTGGCATTACAGTGAGACTTAAATGAGATGGATCATGTGAATACTTAGAAGAGAGCCCAGCACACACCAGGAGAGAGGTGAATGAAGGCTTCCCACTCCTTACTATTGCAGGGCTGCTGGGAGGATTAAAGGGGATGGGCACAAAGGGCTTAGCCACAGTGTAGGAGCAGGAAATGCTATTACTGCTGTCCTTCAGGGCACAGTGGTTTGCTGAGCACCTAGTATGTGTGAGGCTCTGTTCAAATAACTAGAACTGCTCACATGGGTGAGACTAAAATAATCTTTTCTCTCAAAGAGCTTAGCATCTATCACATCTACATCTTTGAGCTCAACTTTTGTTCACACACTATTTTTATATCCAGTCAGTATGTGTTCAATATTCTATGAAAGCAGACTTGGTGCCTGGCCCTGTACTCGATGAATATTTGATGAATCTGAGACAAATCAAGCCTCAGGCTACCTTGGTCTGGAGGATGCTGTCATAGGGCAGGCAGAAAATTGAGTGTGAATATTAGGGTGGCTACAAGGAGGAGCCCTTGAGGAAGTGGCTTCCAAACAGGGCATTGAATAATGGTGTGTCTGCCAGAAAGAGATGAGTGGAATGACATTTTCAGGGGAGAGTGCAGCAGGAAGGAGGATGGGCTCCAAGGAAGGAAAGGTCAGCCGAGGGAGAAGCAGGACACCTGTTGTGGAGGTAGCAAGGTGTGCAGGAGGCTCAGAGGGGAACAGCTTTCTTCAGGCAAGTGAATCAAAGTAAAGCTGAGGGTTGAGCCCAGATTCTTTCACCCTTAGCCAGCTCTTGCCTCTCCATGAGTGTCCCCCAAATTTCTTCCATTCACACCTTCCCGAATTCCACCATAGCTACATTTCCTTAGTTTTTCCAAAGCAAAATTACTTTAAAAAATCAGATACAAATGTTTAAGTATCACATGGTTTCTCTCATTTGAGAAACCCAGAATATACTGTAAAGAGCAACACATACAGGATAGATCATAGGGGAGTAGAGAGATCTTTTTCAAATTAGAAGGGGAACAAGAGGTGGAGGGGGAGTGGGAAGGAAAAGAAAAAAGCTTTTAAAAAAGAGAATGGAAGAAAAAATAGAAATAGAGCTTTTTCAAATGGGAAGCATATCAATAGGTGGAGGGGTCAGGGAAAGTTGAGAGGGGAAGAGGAAAAAAAGATTTAATATGTGTTATATACATGTACAAACACCCCAGAATAAATGTAATCATTATGTATTACACACTAGAATATATAAGAAAGATAGTGTTCTTTCATATACTTAAATCAATGGAACTATATTTTACAAGGAAATCTTATCATTACCATAAATGGAGAAATAGTAAGGCTTGCTTTAATTCAGAGGATGATAAAAATAAATATAACGAAAACAAAATATGAAATTCTACCTAGGACCCGCGCGCTCGCCTGTGTCCGAGGCACGCAGAGAGGCTGAGTAATGTTGGAGCAAGAACAGGCATCTCTAGAATCCAGTCGAAGAGAAATTGAGTTGTGGATACATTTATTTGAGGGTCTCACTATGTAGTTGAGACTGACCTGAACTCACTGTGTAGCCCAGAGTGGTCTTGAACTCACAGCAATTCTCCTGCCTCATCCTCCCATGTGGTGAAATTACAGGTGTGCGCCACCATGCCCAGCTTTTGACAAGGAGCAGTTGGACTGAAGCAACTAAGAAAAGAACAGCCTTCTGCGATCACCCGGCGGCGTGCGCGCGAGCTCCCGGCCTGCGCGAGAGCTCCCGGCCTGCGCGACAACAGACCCAGGAAGGACCCAAGGACCCCAGAGGGGG